TGGTGCCTGCTGCTGCTGGTGCGGATCGTGTGGTCCGCCTCCCTCGTGGTTATTGCTGTGTGGCGGTGGCCCCCCCCCGCTCCCGCGCCTTGGCCGGTGGCCTCGTGGTTTTCGGTGGCCGGTTGGTGGTGGTGTTCGGTGGTGGTTGGTGGTGGGCGGTGGTGGTGCGGGTGGTGGTGGGGTGTTGGCTGGTGGCGGTGGTTGGTGGTTGGTGCGGTGTTGGTTGGTGTTGGTGGTGCGTGCGTTACGTGGTGGTTGGTGGTGCGGTCGGTGGTGGGTGGTGGTGATGGTGGGTGGTGGTGTGTGGTGTTGGTGGTGGCCGTCGGTGGCGGTGGTGGTGCTTTGGGTGGTGCGTGGTGGTGGCCGTAGTGGGCCGTCCCCGGTGGTAGTGCGTGCGTGCATGCCTGCTGCTGGTGGTTGGTGGTGGTTGCGTGGTGTCGGTGGTAGGTGGTTGGTGGCTGTCCGGCTGGTCCGCGCCCGGTGCGCCCCTTGTGTGTCCGGTGGTGGCTGTTTGTTTGGTGTTGGTGGTGTTCGGTGGCCGTGTGGCGGTCGGTGGTGGTGGCTGCTGGGTGCGTGCTGGGTGGTCGGCCGGTTTGAATGGTGGCCGTACGTGCGCCGTCGGTGGTGGTAGTCAGCCTGGCTGGTGCTGCTGCCTGCTGGTGGTGTGGTGGTGCGTGGGTCGGCCGTGCGTGGCTGGTGGTCGGTGGTGCCTTCGGTGGTGGTGGCCCGGGTCGGTGCTGGGTGCTTGGTGGTGGCTGCATGCGTGCTGGTGGTGGCGTTATCGGTGCCTGCTGTGCTGCTTGGCTGGCGGTGGTGTGATGACATTGGTAACCGGTGATGATTGACGGTGGCCTGGTGACGGCGACGATGACGGGTGATTGATGACGGTGGGCCGTGTGACGCCGGATGATGGCGTGCTGGCGGCGTAGTATTTACCGGCCAGCTCTCACGGTTGCGGGCTCCGGGCGCCGCACGCATACTCAAATGGTACTACAATTATTATTCTTGCGGCCTGGCGCTAGCTTTTCGATCGCGGCTTTTATGGCTGGGGTTTTCAGCAGCCGCGGCGTCTCAGGCCCGACCGATGAAAGTTTTTATTTGCCCGACTCGACCATTTCGGCTCGCGCGCTACCCGGTAAGCCAAGCTCAGGCAGGCCGTGCGCGCCAGCCACACGCACGCGCACGCACACGCACCCGGGTCGTTAATGCCTGCGCCGTTGCCGTCGCGCGCACACCCTACTTCATTAGTGCGTGGCGTGCGTCGCACGACACGTCTACTTATTAATGCGTGGTGAGCGTGTGTGAGTGCGTGCGTGTGTCGGCGTGGCCTGCTGTCGCGTGCGTGCCGTGCGTGCGATGCGCGCGTGCGTGCTGTGCGTCTTCTGTTATCCACCAGGGAGTGCGTCGCGCGGGGTGTCAAAAGACACCACAAGCAGCAAGGAGTCGGTACCGCCAACTTGGCGCGCGGAGGAGGGTGGGAGGGGGGTCTGACAAAACGTATGGCACCTGGTCCGTCGAAGACGAGGAGGGAGGAGGGGGAGAAGGAGCGGAAGGGATTATTAAGCTCCGACGGGGGAAGCCCACGACTTTCACAGCGTGCTCTCCCGATCATAATTACAGGGCAGCCGTGTTTACATCTCTGTGTGTGCACGCACACAGGTACGAGCACGCACGCACGCACGCACACACAGGTACGAACGCACGCACGCACGCCACACACACACACACACACACACACACACACACACCACACACACACACACACAACACATACACACACACACACACAACACACACGGCACAACACACACACACACACACAACACCACACACACGACAACCACACACACACATACACACGCAGGCACGCACACAGACACACACGCAGCAGCACGCACACACGCCACACAGACACACAGCAGCACGCACGCACACACCACACACACACACACCACACACACACCACACACACACCACACACACACAACACACACACACACACACACACACACAACATAACACGAAGGCACGCACACAGACACACACGCAAGCACGCACGGCACACACGCGCCACAGACACACACGCAGGCACGCACGCACACACACACACACACCACACACACACACACACACACACACACACACATACACACGCAGGCACGCACACAGACACACACGCAGGCACACACGCACGCACGCACATACACACGCAGTACGCGCACGCACGCACGCACGCACGCACGCACACACACACACACACACACACCACACACACACACACACACACACACACAGACGCGCGCCGGCCGCGCGCGCGCGCACGCACGCACGCATACACATATATTATACTTCGGTCGTTTCGCCGACCGCAGCTGCAGCAGCGTTCTGCGCATGCGCGCTCGCCTCTCGCTTATTAATCACGGAGAGCCGACGACGTGTGTGAATCACGTGGTCTCAACACTCGCCCGCACCGCCGTCACATCGATACACACACACCACACACATACATACACACACACATACACCCATACAGCCCGCCACCGCCGCCACCGCCACCGCCGCCGTCACGTCATCGCCACGGGCCCTCTCTCATATCGCGCAGCCGGCCGCACGCACACGCACGCCGCGACTTATTGTCGGCGACATCAAAGGCGGCGGAATACTATCAGCTCGGCGCGGCAACGCTTCGTGTTAATTAGCTGCCGTATTTATGTAATTTGCGATATTTTATTCATTCGGATGGCCGCCGTCCGCACTAGCGCCGGATGATGGCTGCTCCGCGATAGCATTCAGGTCGGCGCGGAGGGAGGGGGGGGGTATTATGTATTATAGCTTATACCTCGTCGGCTTGCCGTCCATATGACCTCCCATTAACTCACACACGCGCGCACGCACGCACGCACGCACACACGCGCGCGCGCGCACGACACACAGCACGCACGCCACGCACGGCACGCACGCACGCACACACACGCACGCACACACGCACGCACGCGCACGCACACACGCACGCACGCACAGCGCACGCAGCGGGTCCGTGGCTGTTGCATGTGAGTGAACATATATGCACATCACTAAGGTTGCTTACCTCGAGGACAATATACCTCGAGCGCGCGCTGATTAGTAAAGAGGTTCGGGTCTCTCTCTCTCTCTCTCTCTCTCTCTCTCTCTCTCTCTCTCTGTTCATTATCTTCGCACCGATGCGATTACGTCGATGAGATAATCAAGAATAACATCGCGTCTTGGGTTTACGTTCGGCAGATTTTGCGAGCGTAACATATTCCGCCGCTGTCTTGCCGCCGACCGTCATCAAAGGGCGCCGTAACACCACGTGTGGGTTATTTATACGCCAAAAGTGATTGCGGCAGCCTATACTTGCCCGCTTTAGTCGTAAACTGGCTTGCCGTGGCTTGTCAGGCACTCAATGTTGGCATCTTTACGTTTTCATCAATTCTTGCCGATTTCGCTAAGAGGTTGGTGTAATTTTTCTGCCTTCCGCGGCATGAAAATGCTCACAGGCCTGCAAGAATTGAGGAAAATTGCGCTTGTTTGATCTCCAAATAATTCAACTTGCCTCGCATACGCTTGATAATTCTCGATGAATTGACATTTTTGACGTGGGGGTGACACGAGATTTCCCCCCTAGACTAAAAGCTTACTACGCGGCGAACTTGAGGTGCTTTTCGCGGAGACGTGTCAACCGTTTTTATCGCGTAGCGTTGGCGCCAACAAACTCGTAAAGCGAAATTGGGCAGCGAGAGAAGAAATATTGCCGCGCTCCGCCATAAAACCTGTTCACCCCTCCGGCGAAATACTGACAGCCTTTGCAATGTAAATAGCGCTACACGCTGATTGGCGCGGCTACATCAAAGCAAATGACGTCACCGTGTACATTGCCTGTCGGCGGCGGGCATGTGGCTTTGATGTTCAAAAGTTTGGGAGATTTTTCGCCATTTTGGATGCACTTTAGCGTTTCTCTTGAGCAAGACGGATACTTCCCTCTCTCCAGTAAGTACGTAGCGACAGATCGAGTCAAAATCTTGCTTTGTTGCGAAATATTAGGGAGCCTAATTCGTTCGTAGATTCATATTTGTGATCCTACGGGGAGGACAGCTTTGCGAGGCTGCTTGCTTTTGCTCCCTCACCCCAGCGGAGCAGCGTGCATCGGGAGAACGTGGTGATATGTTGGCGAGTGGACTGGCTCGTCCGCTAGCCTTCGACGCGTGAAGATTGAGAATACCGTCGTCGATTATCGTTGGATTCGACAAGTTTGGATATATGTTGTGTTAATTGTTATGTTAGGTAAGTTGACGAGATTTCGGCTGATGTTTTTGCAAATATTTCAAAGATGGCGGATAGATGGGATTAGGTACAGCGTGAAAACGGTGTCCGTTCTCGGATGATTACGGGCCAGCGTTACCCAGTGGAATCAAAGATTTAATACTATTTGTAAGACTTATATATGTTGTCTACGTGGCACCACGTATCTCATACAAAGACCGCTCTACTATTGCCGTACCGTGTGTTTCATCCGTCGAGCTAAACTTGCGTAAATTTACAGCTAGCTTTGCCGCCGCTATACATGTACGTTTGCAGTATATTCACTAGACATTACAGGCTGAGGTTGTGTAAATACTGTACTACTACTAGATGTATTTAGCACAATAAATTAATTAGAAAACGTTTCACGTTTTTATATGTGTGCGTGTGTGTGTGGCACACACTGACTGTCAGTGTATGTAGTGCACACATACGGTACCTATATATTTATAATATATTATATATTACATGTACATGTTCTATACACAATTTTTCTTTGGGAACTAGTATGCCGTTTCAGTGCACGTCGCAAATAACATAATTATAATTTACAATATATGAATGTAGGATTTTATTTTTAAATATATATATAACACATGGACACCCAAAGATTGTTTTGCAATACATTGCGTATATTCAATCATGTCTGTTATAGATAATAATGTGCCGAATTAATTGGTAGCGAAATGGGCACTAAAATGTATGGAATTATATTTATATATGTATTAATAATTATATGTGTTTATCTAGCAGGTACAGATTTTATTACTTGGATATCGCCACACTATGCAAGAAAGAATTTGTATTAAATTTAATAGCACACGTTAAACTCATCTAAAAATTTTGACGTAAATAATTGAGCATTTTTAAGTAGGACCGTCGCGCTTCAATATTTTTTTTTCGAAGGAATATTACGAAACCGTTTTTTTGCTCGAAGGACATTCTCCGCAAATCCGATACTTGCGTGATAGATCCCGAGCGAAGGGGGAATATTTGCTAGCATGCATGCGTGCACACTAGGTCCACTGTTTCAAGACTACTGCCTGCAGTATTCACATGTCTGTAATGAGTACAAGCTCTAATCCACCATGTGGCCGCAGATTGAGTTTCATGCTGTAAGTAGCCGTGTGTGGACCCGGGGCCTCCTTTGATGTCGCTGCTGGCACTGGTCTGTTTACGAAGCGGCAGAGCGAACACGCCGAATTCGGGGAAAGGGGCCCTGCTAATGCTGACTGTGTGCATCCCAGCTGCCCCCCATTTCCTGCAGCATGGCTCCCCCTCTCTCCCTCTCCCCCTCCTCTTTCTCGCTCTCTCTGTGTGTGCGTATGTGTCAGGCGAGGAATTACCCACCGGCTAAGCATTACTGTCTAAGTACATGTATGTATCATACTGCTCGCTTCGTTTCGCCACTGACGTTCAGCTGGAAATTTTCTTCGGTCGAGATCGGTCGGCTGCATGAATGATTTAGCTCCGGCTAGAGTATTACACGCAGGATTTCGTCGTTCCCGAGTACGCTGACTCTTTAGAGAGTGCAGTGGTTGGCTGGCGTTCGAAATTGGTGGTGGATGAGGCGTATTTCACACGCATAACTAGGGTCACTCGTCACTGTTATTCTTGGATTTCTTGGCCGTTCCTGAACGTGGATATCAATGCTGTGCGTGCGTGTGCGTGCGTGAGTGGAGCGAGCACTGCTGCTGCACACGCATGGAGAGTGTATACATGTACATGTACACGCAGAGCGGGGGGCATACAGTGTGCTGCTAGCTAGCGTGATTGGTCAAGCTATCCCAGAACGCACCGCGCCGAAATTTTTATCCGATTCTTGTCGCCAGCTGAGTGTTCTGAATGAGACGGTAAGCGAGAGAGGAGCACTTTTGCTACCCGCGCCGTGATTTTTGCCCGAAGGGTCTCTCTCGGGTCGGCTAGTGTCTTGGCATTTTCTCTCGGAGCCAGCGCCCAAAGAAATTTCAGTGCTCTCACTCTCCAAAGGATTATAGGATGTAGGGAAAATTCTGCTAATTTGTCATTCTTAGAGGCCATCGAATAATGCCACGAAGACTCTTTGCAAGCGCGCTCTGATTGGCCGAGAGCTTCCGACAGCGGCGGTTTGCCGGCGTCGTGGGCGATAGCGAGTTGGATAATATTAGCTGCCATCAAGGATTCGCGACCGCGTCGGAAGGGAACAGGTAAGGAGAGAGCGTGAAAAACGCTTATTGTGCGAAATCTAGTGTAATAGCTAATTTCGATGCCGGGGGTTCTCTCCCTGCATTGAAGTAATCGCTGGTAGTTTTCTCGGGCCACACAGACTCCTGCGCGAGTTTCGGCGTTATATTCGCTCGTAGCTTTTCATTAAAGCGCAGATGGTCTTTGACGAACTTCGGTGACAAAGGCGATCGAAAATGTCATACGCCTGCGCAGTCGGTGATGACGCGCATATTCATATGATCGCCGTCCCCCAAACAAAGAATATCGTACGAGTTCGGTGGTTCTGCGCAAGCGCCAAAAATTTTCCGCGTCGCCATTTTGGTTCGATCGCGAAGACGCTCCTTTCGTCGCGAAATACCTCCCAGAATTCGGCGGTCTTCGCGAATTTCGGTGAATCCTGTTCCTGTGTTGCCTGAGACAGAATTGGTGAGTGATTATGACTGGGTAAATTCTTAGGGTCAATTAATCCATGGCAAATTTTTCATTTTCGTGAGGGGGTCGTGCTTCAAACCTCAGTTCCTCTCTGTGTGGTCTCTTGGAGGAAGTCGGCTCTGTGTTAGTAATCCTTTGATAGGTGTACGTGTGTGTACATACTAAAATTTATGAGTGTTAGTCATGCCAGAATAGTCCCGAGAGTACAAATTTCCAAATTGATGACCAGTTCCTCTTATTGTTTCATGTGTAGGGTATTTATAAGTTCCCAAGCCGCAGTGCCATCTGGTCTCAATATATCAGCCTAGATTCAGCCACCATCTACAGTAACACTAACAGTGGTCACTGGGCACATGTAGGTAGCAGCATATACTATACATATTCACACCAATATATATCAGGAGTAGATAATAGGGAACCTATAGGGGGGGGGGATAATAGTTCCCTATTATCTACTCCTGATATATATACATAAATATATACATGTCATTGTGTATACATACACAGGGGTAGAAATTAACTATTGTCCAAAGGACTCCCTAACCTCAAAAAGAGGGAGTCCGCAGCAAAATGAGGGAGTCTGCAGTCGGAGCTTCAAAATTAGAGATATTAACATTAACGCATGTGCTTATTTTTAAGATTCATGCGGTTGCACGTCTGCCAAATTTTCTCTGGACATTAGCTGGAAAAATACGGTAATTCCGCGAGGCCGTGCTCCGGAACGAACTAGTTAATGTGGCAGAATTTTCAGGGAGTCACACGGACTCCTGCATATGATATATATGTCAAAGCAGGGATTCCGACAGTAAATCAGGGAGTATTTGACTCCGGACTCCCGTTAATTTCGCACCCTGCATACATGTGTGTGTGTGTGTGATATACTCTCACCAGCGTATACGTGGTAGGGTGGACTGGTACAGTGGCACCCTGTGTGTGCCCTCCTATTATATACTATACATGTACACGTACATGTAGCAGTGTGTGTGCTGTTGTCAGTGTGTGGGCGATATAGTTGCTGGTTTATCATTACAGGCCCCGGCAGTTAGTACATGTATGCACGATGTACAGTACCACCACCGCTGGCGCACTGTGTGCCTCGTCAATACAGTTACTGAAGCCAATAGATCAAATTAGTCATTCATTACACATTGCCTAACGAGATATATTGGATCAAGCCCCGCATATGCCAGCTATACGCGGCCCCTCTATTTGCATTTCTTATTTTCGCCATCGGTTGCTTGGAGAACACTGTGTATCACACGGAGGCGGTTGTATGCATAATTTTGTTTGGTTCGCCGTGGCTGTGCTAAGGAGAACGTTCTAGAATCGTACATGTATACAGTCGAGTCAAACCGAGGCGAGGCGAGTTGCATGTTGGTGTGGCCCCCATGCTTTTCACACAGACCGCATAGTATATCTTCGGTAGTATATATCTTCTGCCATCACTGAGTCAGTGAGTGATCTTGAGTAAGGGCGTGCACAGCACTGTGTGTGGTATGAATTATATATCTTCTTTTTCGGGGGGGGGGGGGGCTAAGCGAGGGCGTGTGCGTTACGAGTGCTTTTTCTCATGCAACATGTATACATGTACGTGTTTGCTGCTCTGCTGTGTAGATGCAGTTAGCTGGCAATGTTAGTTTGCGATGTACATGTAGGTAATAAATACGCCTAGAGAGAGGTACATGTAGGCGTGTATGACAGTATTGGTCACGTACACGTAGTGCGAGAACGTGGATGTTGAACTCAAACGTGTATGTATAATATGGGGCCTTGCTTGTTCGTTCGTTCACATTCTGTGTTGATAGTTCTCGTTTTAAAATATTGTTTTAACCGAATCCACGTTTCATTTATGCGGCTGCTGGAGAATATTTATACACGAACCGCTTGTGTGTGTATTTGTGTGTGTGCGTTTGTGTCTGCGCGTGCGAACGACGGATGCGTGGCCTACGGGTTTTTCCTTCTCTGGCTGTAGGGTATTTGTGCAGACTAATCGGCTCTCTGTTTCCGAATCCCTCCCATTGCCGCCAACAGTGGTCTCTTCCACATGTGGTACAG